CCGCCCCCAAGCCCCGCCCCAAACGTGTTGCTTTGGCTGCCTCATCCTTCTCACTTGGTGGCAACTGACCTGCACTTGTCCAGGCCTGACGGGCCACAGCCCTTGTCTCTCTGTGCACGCTGCATGCTCAGTCCCTCGGGAAATCACGCCGGCTCCACCTCACACCCCACCCAGGACCCAGCCACCTGCCACCACCCTTGTGCCACGAGGCCCCCACACCAGGTCCCCTGCCTTTCCCTGTGCCCCCTGTAGTTCACTCTCAGAACAGGCCACTCTTCTGCTCCAAGTCCGTCAGTAGCTCCTCTCTGATGTGCTTCTAGAATGTACGTAAAAGGCAGAGAGGGGCCAGCGTTGTGGGGCGGCAGGGTATGCTGCTGCCTGTGACACTGGCATCCCACCAGTTCAAGTCCCGACTGCTCTGCTTCATAGCCAGCTCCCTGCTAATGGCCTGCGAAAGCAGCAGAAGATGGCCCACATGCTCGGGCCCCTGCACCCACGTGAGAGACCCGGATGGAGCTCCTTGCTCCTGGCTTCTGCCTGGCCATCGGGAGAGTGAACCAACAGATGGAAGATATTCTCTCTCTCTCTCTCAGGTTCAAGGGCTCGTTTTTCCATTTATTGTCCCTCTGCCCTGCTCACAGGAGGCCTTGGTGCCTGTCTGTGAGCCGCTAACGACGGGACCCTGCAGAGCCGATTCGAGCCGTGCACTCTGTGAGCGTTCCGTGCCAGTTCCACAAACGAGGCAGAATCTTTTGCTTCCCTCTCACAGCTGAGGACCCCGAAGCCCAGAACACTGTAGGCGACTTTCCCAAAGCCACACAGCCAGTGCCTGGCATGGCAGGATCGGAACCCAGGCCAGGCTGGCTGATTTCGGAACTCTTGCTTTTTTCCCAACTCTGTCCTGTGGACACTGCAGCTGTATTTAGCAAGGTTCACTCACTCACTCACTCACTCATTCACTCATTCATTCATTCAGTAAATGTTTCCCAAGCTCCTCCACGCCTCCCCCACTGGATCGCCAGGCCGTGGACTGCAGACTGAAGCCCCACACATGGACAGGTTATGGGCCTTGCCCTGGAGGAGCTCGGGTCCCTGGCCTAGGCGACAAACGTCTCCGTGGGCTTTGGGAACTCAGTGAGGGGGCCCCTCTCCCCAGCCCCTCGCCTGCTCCATCGGAACTGCACAGCCGCCCCCCCCCCCGCCTCCCCAGGTTAAATGAGGCCAGCTGGTGCACACCCTGCAGCATCCTCCACAGGTAAACAGGCCCCAGGGAGGGAGGCCGTGGGTGTGCACGAAGGCCCAGGGCCAAGCAGCCAGACCAACCCAGCTAGGGCAGGAAGAGCCGATGTGGACGAGGGGCGCTGCCCGCCTGGCACCCTCACCACTGCCAAATGCCCAAGACGCCAGGCCCAGGCTCTCCGGAGGCTGAGCGCAGCCCAGCGGCGGGCCCAGTCCTTGTTCTTCCACTCCCTTTCCTCACTGCCTGGCAACCCCAGCTCTGTCCCGCCCACTGCCTGCCCCAGGCCTTCCTCTCCTCTTTCTCCTCCTCCTCCCAAGGAAGAGGGGACACTCACAGGCCTGCATCCCCCAAAGTTCACTGAGAAGCTGGTGTAGGGGTTTGACTGCACACCCACGTCCAGAGCCGTGAACTTGGGTTGCTTCTCCGTCACGGACTCACTTAGTCCACACACTTTTATTTGCCAGACCTGGCAGGCACTGGAGGCAGCTGGAGAAGCCAGAGAGGCCCCCGTAACCACAGCACTGTCCTGACAGGCGAGGTCCGGGCTGTGACCTGGAGAAGTCCTGACTCCGCCCACCTGGCAGAGCTGAGAATACAATTTATTAGGCGCCTACTGTATGCCAGATATGCAGAGGCATGCATTGACCCCTGGTGTTAGTCCCTGCTTCTAAGTCCAGGTCTCCCTGGAAGCCAGGCGTGGGCAGGAGATGCTTCATTGAAGCTGCAGAGCTGGGGGAGTAGGGAGGACACTCCCATTGCAGAGAGAGGCAGACTGAGTCAGAGCTGAGAGCCGCAGCACCTGGGCATACACTGGTAGGGCAGGAAGAAGCCTTGTGAAACTTAGCCAGCAGCAGAACATCTACTGAAACGGTTACACAAAGAGGTTGCTAGGGGCCGTTGTGCTGGTGTGTGGGTCAAGCTGCTGCCTGTGATGCTGGCATCCCAATGAGCCAGGGTTCGAGTCCCAGCTGCTCCATTTCTGACCCAGCTCCCTGCTAATGTGCTTGGGAAAGCAGCAGAAGATGGCCCAAATGCCTGGGCCCCTGCACCCACATGGGAGACCCTGACAGAGCTCCTACTTCAGCTTGGCCCAGCCCCAGTCATTGTGGCCATCTGGGAAGTGAACCAGCGGACAGAAGATCTCTGTCTCTCCCTCTGTAACTCTGCCTTTCAAATAAACAAATCTTTTTTTTTTTTTTTTAAAGATACAACTGACATTAGACAATAAGCAGCAAATCAGCAGAGCAGTATATTTAAAAAGAGGTTGCTAAAAAGATATAGGAGTCAAACTTTTCAAAATACATAAGTTCACATAAATATATGTTTAAAACAGTGATGCTGGAAGACGACAAAATGTCGGTGATCTAAGCTGTAGATTGCAGATGTTTTTAAAAGGCTTTTTATTGGTAGAATATTGGACATGCCCCCAAAAAAACAGACAGAAGAGGACGGTGAGCCTCAGCCAGCAAATCCCGACCTGGAGCCTCCGTCCCCTGCCCCGGGAGCCTCCGTCCCCTGCCCCGGGAGCCTCCGTCCCCTGCCCCGGGAGCCTGCTCTGTGGAAGTGCACGCCGCATCGCCCTTCTTCCCTCGGTATTTCAGGCTGTACTTCCACAGATAAAGCCTTAAAAGCTACATAACCACAATACTGTTACAACAACTAAAAAGAGATACAAATATTCCTCAATATCAAGTGGGCCAGTGTTCAAACATGCGGTAATCTCATAAATGACATTAAATGTTTCCATCTTGCAGGGTTTTGTTTCTTCAAAGTCATGATAAAGATGAGGACCACTGTGCAATTAGTTACTGTGTCCTTTAGGTCTCTTATCTGTAGTTAACCTCCCATCTCTTTTTACTGCCTTTGCAAACTCATCATTTATTCCGCAATGCACCACTGTCTGAATTTTGCTGCTTGCATTCCTGATGTATAATGTAACAAGCTCTCTGTACCCTGTATTTCCTGTAAATTGATAGTTTAATCTAGAACTTGATCAGATTCAGATGAGAGGTTTTCTTTTTCTTAGGATTCATTCATTTAGGGGGGTGGAGGAAGGGAGTGAGGGAGGGTGTGGAGTATCATCATTTTCTTTCTTTCTTTTTCTTTTTTTTTTTTTTTTTAAGATTTATTCATTTGTTTGAAAGGCAGAGGCAAAGGCAGAGGGAGAAAGAGATCTTCCATCCGCTGTTTCACTCCCCAGATGGCCGCAAAGGCCAGAGCTGCACGGATCCAAAGCCAGGAGCCAGGAGCTTCTTCTGGGTCTCCCATGTGGGTGCAGGGGCCCAAGGACTTGGGCCATCTTCTGCTGCTTTCCCAAGCAATAGCAGAAAGCTGGATTGGAAGTGGAGCAGCCGGATCTTGAACCGGCACCCATTGGGGATGCCAGCACTGCAGGCAGCGGCTCTACCTGCTATGCCACAGTGCTGGGCCCCATCATGATATTCTTAGAATTGTATCTAGGGGCCGGTCCCCTTGACTTCACTATGGTCAATGCACCTGGCTAGGGGCAACTGGCCAAGTGTGGTCAAATCCGGAATCGCGACCCAACTTGTCTTTCGCATTACACTCATTTCCGATCGGGACTGC